CTGTCCCCTGGTTGGGATCAGGGGTGATTTGGACCCTGATCAGCCTAGAATGAGCCAGGAAAATCCAACAGGAGAAGCGGCCCCAGAAGCCTGAATGAGGGGGTCAGTGGCACCCTGGGCCAGGCTGCAGAAGGCAGCCTCAGTTTTCCCTGTCTGAAGAACGGGTTGGTGGGATGAGATAATGGGGAGCTGAGGAGGCAGAGGCTTTGACCAAAAGGGTTTTAAAGTGAGGAAGTGACAAGAGAAGTCAGGGATAGACCCCACACCCTCAGGACACCCCTTCATATATTACCACTCCATAGCCGCATGCAAACACAGACACACACTTTTGCCCTTGTTTCTACATCTCTGTGTTCTGGGACTGTGGTTCCCGCTCTCTTTTCTGCCGCCTCCTTTGCTGTCTCTCTGTCTAAATTCCTGTCCCATCATCTCTGGGTCAGTAGCTCTCTTTCTGTCCCTGTTTCTCACTCACTGTCTCACCCATTCCTGTGTGTGTTTCTTTCTCATTCAGCAAAGCTCTTTCCACACCCCCCTCTTTATTGCTAAGTATTTCCCCGTGGGTCCCTCCCTCTTCGCCCACCCCCATACCCAGGTGGAAGTTTTCAACCAAATCAAAGGCAGGCAGGACAGAAGCCGAAGCTGATGCTGAGCCCTTCAGCACACACAGGGAGGGAGGGAGAGCCCTGGGGAAGTCTGGAAATCGTTACCCAGCCCCTCACCCCTGCCCTCTGCTGCCGAGGTGGGCTGTCCTGGCAGAGGGAGGAGGTGGCCAAGAGGCCGGGACCCTATAGGAAAGGGGGATGTTTCTCATGGATGCCCTGATGCGCTGGGTAGCCCTGCCCTCCTCTCCCTCTGTTCCTCTATTTTTGGGTCTCTGACCACCCCCCACCCCAGGTCTCTGTTCCCCTCTCTCTGCTGCCCCCTCTCTGGGTCTCTGGGTCTCAAACTCTCTGAACTCTGAATTTCTATTGCTCTCCCCCGCACTTTCTGCCCTCCTCTCCCTCTGGGTCTCCGTCCCCCCCGCCCCCCACCATTTCTCTGAGCTTTTGTGCCCCTCTTGGGGTCTCTGTACTCTCTCAAAATCCTCCTCCCTCCTGCCTGGGTGTCTTTCTCACTCCATCCATCTGCACGCCTGCAGGCCCTTCATTGGCTGGGTTTAGGGTGGGAGGGTTCTGTCACCCGGGGCAACGGCAACAACAAGCCGGCTCCTGCTAGGCTACGGGGCGGGGGTGGGACCATGGCGGGTCGGAACCTAGCTCGGCGCTACGGTCCCCCACGGTCCCCCATCTCTGGGACCAAGGTGCCTGCATCCCAGCCCAGCTGGCATCTCACCAGCAGTGGCGTCGCCCACCACTGTATCCCGCCCGTGCCCTTCCCCCCGCCCACTGTGCAGGTGAGAGGACCCTAGGCTCTTAGCCAAGAGGAGACTGGGGGCCCAGGCTGAAGGAGGGGCCTGGGGATCCAGACACCTGCTGAGAGAAAAGGGGACTCTGGGCTTAGAGTCCTGTCTGACAGAAGGAAGAGGGTTCCAGGGACTGGGTCTGAGAGAGGAAGGGTCAGGGAACCTGGATGCCTGGAACGGGCGGTAGGAAAGGGCTGGGGACTGACTGGGAAGGATCAGGGCTTGCGGACGAGACTCCTGAGTCCTTTTAGCTGACGTCCCGCACCTTCTCCTCAGTCCACGGTCGCGGAGCCCCTGCCCCCGGCCGCAAAGCAGGATTTGCATATTTGGGCTTTCGACGAGGTCACCAACAGATGGGAGACAACCTCGGGCTCGGCTCACGTGCCCAAGACCCACGGCGGGCCCTACGCGCAGCCCAAGGCCCCAGAACCTGCGGCCCACACGCGGATTGTGGGGATCAAGGATGTAGCGGAAAAAGTAAGGTTCTGGGATGCCCAAGCCCGCGGGAGACAGGGCTGGGGACCGCACTGGAGTCCCGTGCGCCCTCATGTTGTGTCCCCGCGTCGTCTTCTTGCAGCTCAGACACCGCGGCTGGCGCCTCCCTCTGATCACAAAGCACCAGTGCAGTGAGACGAGGGCGCAGTACACCGGCTGGCCCAGCCTGGACCGGGGTGCCACCTCCTTCATTCGGCCCCAGCCCCTGGAGCTTGCGGACCACAACCGAGGGGGCCCTTCCCAGGTAGCGGAGAAGACCGCGGTGGCAGGATCTGGCAGAGTTTTGAGACCCTGGGGCGGGGTCTGAGGGAATTTTGAGTGTGGGGTCTAAAGAGTGGGACAGAATCTGGAGGTTACATTGAGTGGGGAAGGGGCTTAGGCCTTTTGAGGCGGAGCCAGGAGCAGGAGGGGACTGGAAGCCCAAAATCCCAGCTCTGAGGCTGGGGCCACAGTTAGTAAATCCTGGGGCGGGTCTAGGAGGCGGTTCTGAGGCTGCCGGCGGAGCTTGAATATTCTGAGGCCGGTCTGGGGCGGAAGGCGGGGCTGGCTTCCCCGGTTAGGGTGGTGTAAGGAGTAATAGTCGCCCGAGGCGCAGCTGAATTCCAGGGGCGGGACCGAGAAGGTTTGAATCTAGGGGAGGAGCAGAGAAGGTTTTTTAGTGACTGGGTGCTTGGCTTTGTGTCCGATGACGGGCAGAAAGTATTTGGATTTTGGAGGTGAGGCTAGTAAGGGTTCTGATTTGGGGAGCGAAGCTGAAGTGCACTGGCCAGGAAGGATTCCGATTCTGGGGGCGGCCTGGTTCAGAGGCGCTGTTGAGGCCGAAGGAAGAGGAATTCCGTCTGGGACAAAGGGCATGAAAAAGGGTATGAAACCTTTCTTGCTCATCCCTCCTCCTGCGATCCTCCTCAGGCTCTAATCCCCTGGACGAAGAACCCCGAGCTGGCCGGCCAAGCCTTTCACTATTTCTGACCAGGGCATCCTGGACCGCCATCAGCTCTATCTGACCACTTCGGCCCGGGACTTCCAGGCCTATTCGAAGTGAGCCTGGGTCCTCCCTTGGCACCGACCCCCTGCACAGCCCCCGCATAGGCTGGTGGACGCCGAGCCCCGCGGTGTTGGCTCCCCGTCTCTGACTCAGTAGTCTCGGCCTTCAGCTCCTGCAAGCGCAAGAATCAGAAGTTCAGACCCAACCCCCACCTGTTTTAGCGCCCTGGTATACTTAGTGTCAACTCTCAGGAACAGGAAGCCTGCAAACGGCCCAAGAAGGAGTTCTGGATCTGGGAACGTGGCCCTGAGGGTCTAGGGCGGGCTTCCTTTGGTATTTGAGTCCCCCAGATAACTCTTTTCCAAGGATGTGAAAAGTCCCAGATTCCAGGCCCTTAAATACCTCGAGGACCCAGGAATCCAGGCTAGGACTCCCCAGTCCCATGCTTCCTAAAGGGTCTCTGACTCCTACAAATGTGTCCTCGAAGATCTATCTAGCTGTGCCCTCCCCATCGTGCCTCCACCCCAACCCCCGACAGGAAGGAGTTGCCAGGCTACCCTCGCAAGGATTCGATGACCTCCTGGAGCTTCGGGGAGACGCCCCAGGCCTGGGGCCCCGGCCCGAAGCAGCCGCCCGGTCCGTGCTCCTCTCGGCCACTCCGTCCGCCAAAAATCCGCGTGCCCCGCGCCCGTCCGGTGATGCCAGTCGTGCCGCACCGCGGGGCGCTGGCTCTGGCTCAAGAATCCTACAGCCCCCCGCTGCACCCACTCCGCCGGCTCGATCGTTTCTGCCCGCTGGAGCTGCCCTGGGGCGGCCCCCACTGGAAACCCGAATCAGGCATCAAGAGCGTGCCGCAAGCCTACAGCACCGAGAACTTCAACTACGGCTTCTTAAAGCCGGCGCTAGTCAGAGCCAGACGGGCCAGCCCCGCCCTGGACACGCCCCCCAAGCGGGGGCGGTGCCGAGCCTGGAAGACTGGGACTAGGGATACACTGGGTGGGGCTAAGACGGGACCCCCGCCCACCACCTGGGGGCGGGGCAGAGCTTGGGCTGTGGGCGGGACGAATCTAACACGTCCCCTCGATCACGGGGGCGGGACTGAGCCTGGAAAATGTACCTTGGGGCTGCGGGCTAGAGGGTGGGACACAACCTCTGCGGCGGAAAGGGCAGAGCTTATCTCAGTCGACAGAGTTAAATAGCCTAAACCACGCTCTTTGTTGGGTTTAGTTCTGGCATCCTGGTTTCTGGGGGCCTGAGTGTGGGGCAGGTGGGATTCCCGCTGAATCCCTGGTGGAGGGGCACCCCCCAACTCTGGGGACAGAATCCAACATCGAAGCCACCCGCCTCCTAAGAAGTTGGACTCAGTCTACGGCAGGTGGAGCAGGGTTGAGGCTTCAGCCTATAACCACTGGAGGATTGTCAGAGGGGCGGCGCTCCAGCCTCTGGCGGGCTCCCCTCAGGATGGGTAGAGGGGGGGCCCACAAGGCAAGGGGCACAGCTGCGGCCTCCCATACCCTATTTCTTGTGCTCCCACCACGGCCTCCCTAGCACCTGGGGACTGAGTCTGTGAAGTCTGCTTCACCTTGGGCGTCTTCTGCTTCTTGGCGCAGAAGCCACTCAGGGAGTGGGGGGAGGGGGGCGCCACTGGGCCATTCCTGCATCTCCCCGACCTTGTCTGCCTCTCGCCCCCGGGGAGATTAGTGTCCAGGTTACCCCACCATGCTGCCGCCCCCAGTGGCCTTGCCGCCCCCACAGCCCGCAGCTATAAGACCAGGTAAACGCGGGGGGGGGGGGGGGACGCGGAGGAGG